AGTGGCTGGCCATGTTTACTGTCCGTGAGAGGTAGTCGCCTTATACAACACTTAAAAATGGTGAAAATGGTAGCTTTTAGGTTATGTATACATCTTACAGGGTTTTTTTTTTAAGCCCATATTAATAATATTACAGGGCCCCAGCATCTGCCAGATCAAACTCACCTTATTTTCTGTCTTCCTTAAAATACTGTCTTGCCTTCAAGAAAAAAAAAAAATGCACATCTGTGTCACATATTAAAAATATGGTTCTAATTTCTAAATCAGGATTGTTTACTTCTTGAGATCTCATAAAGTTAGCTATTTTGTGCAGTATGCATTTAAACCAGTGAGGCATCCTAAATAGGATACATAATTAGTTTCTAAGGCAGGCAGCCTGGTAGTTACCTGAGTCAGCAGGATTGGTTCCGTGTAAGAGGTATGTAGCAAGTTTCCAATGTCTCAGGTCATGTTGCCTTCCTGTTTTTCTTTGCTAAACCTCAGAAAATGGCCAGGCTCCCATATTCCCACATTTTCTCAATAGGGCCCAGCCTCCTATTGAGCCAGCAGGTCAGATGGGTGCCCTCCGGGGGTGTGTGTGTGCATGTACTTTGCAGCATGCGTGTGTGCGTGTGTGTGTGTATTTCCTCCTGCATGGGTGTGGTGTATTTTGGTGGGGGGGGAGTGAGGGGAGCTGACTCACTTATTCACTTAAGAGGACTTGAATTCTGCTCATTTCATGCTGATCCTTCCTGAGCTTGGGCCATCAACCGAGGCCTAAATTTGTGGTCTAGACCAGAATCCAAGACTGGTGTGGGAAGGTCAACAAGAGGCCTCTTGTGTGCACTGAGTGGGTCTGTAGGGGAATTCTCTACACCCCTGTGTGTGGTAGAAACAATTCCAGAATTATTCTTCTCCTCCACCTAGAACTGGAGAGGCTGCTGAATAGTTTCTATCTCCCTCAATATGTTTTTATTTGCACTTGCTATGAGTGCTAAGGGCACTTGGCGCTTGGGTGGGAGGGAGGGTCGAGAATGCTAAGGAGGAATGCCTAGGAAGACAGCACTGCAGCTAGGAGCTCAGAAGGAGTGCCCCTGTCCACCCCTGGCTCAGGCAGGGCTCCCTTCTAGCCACACTGTGTTTCACAGCCTCCACCAGGAAACTTGGAGCCATGAGGGCCTCTACCCAGCATGGTCTGTTGCTGGACAGCTCCTGTTTTTATAGTGTTGTAAATATTGAGCACAATCTGCATGTTTGGTGTGTCGGCTAGTCCCAGCTATGACCTCATGTGGGATATACAGTGTGTTGTGTAAAATCTCACCCCGTTGGGTGCACTCCCCTCTCCACGTTCCGAGAATCATGACTGCAACCAAAGCTGCTGGGGGACATTTGGCCAAGAAGTTGTATTTTCTTAGCCTTTACCTACCAGATTCTCAAACAAAGCAATATTAATGGTGGTTATCACGGTGAGTGCTTCCAATGTGCCAAGCACTATGCATCGCGCCTTATATATGTTGCCTCATTTAAACTTCCAACAACCCTATTGGAGTTCTTTGCTTAGAGAGTATAAGTCATTTGCTCAGAATCATCTAGCTAGTAAATTTGTGGACCTAGGATTTAAACTCAGGCACCACACCACCCCCCACACCACCCCCAAAAGTCTATCCTCTAGAATCAGACAAAACAGGAAGAAAAAGTCAGAGAATCAGACAGGAAAAAAAAAAAAAATAGTTGATTGCTTTTGTACCCATCAGGGATATCCATTTGAAAGCTCCCTGCTGCTCAGAAATTCCTTTCATGAGATATTTGTAAAAGGGATGAAGGTGAGCTTCACTGGTTTCAGAGGAGAGGTCCTGAGTGCCTGGTGTGGGTGGGGAGATGAGAAGGTGGTTCTAGAAGTCAGTAAGCTCTGTCACATGCCCCCAGCACAGCCAGGTCATCAGTCCCTTGTTCCTGTGCAGTCTTGAGCTGCAGCCCTTTTCAGGAGAAAATTCAAATCATGGTTTTGTTTTTTAATCTTTGAAAACAAATGTTGGAAAGTAAATCAGCCCAGTGGGTTTTTTAAATTTACATTTATATTGAGTTATAACCATATTGAGTTAACATGCAGTCTTAATCAGTTCAGGCTGCTACAACAATACCATAGACTGGTTGGTGTACACACTTATTTATTGCCTAGAGGCTGGGAAGTCTGAGACCATGGTATTGGCAGATCAGTTGTCTAGCACAGACCCACTTGCTGGTTTGCAAATAGACTTCTCTTCACTGTATTCCACATGATGGAGAAGGAAGGAAGGAAGGAAGGAAGGAAGGAAGGAAGGAAGGAAGGAAGGAAGGAAGGAAGGAAGGGAGGGAAAAGAGGAGGAGGGATGGAGGGGGAAGGGAAGAAAGAAAGAAAGAAAGAAAGAAAGAAAGAAAGAAAGAAAGAAAGAAAGAAAGAAAGAAAGAAAGAAAGAAAGAGAAAGAAAGAAAGAAAGAAAGAAAGAAAGAAAGAAAGAAAGAAAGAAAGAAAGAAAGAAAGAAAGAAAGAAAAGAAAGAAAAGGAAGAAAGAAAGAGGAAGAGAGAGAGGGTGGGAGGAAGGGAGGAAGAGAGAGAGAGAAAGGAAGAAAAGAAAAGAAAACAAGCTCTCTCATTTGTCTTCTTACAAGAGCATTAATCCCATTCATGAGGATTCCACCCTCATGACTTTACTTCCCAAAGGTCCCACCATCACAACAGGAGGTAGGATTTCATATGAATTTTGAGGGGATACAACCATTCAGTCCATAACATCCACAGACCATAAGTGTACATACAGTTTCATGAGTTTTCACAAATGTATACATCTGTGTAGTCAGCAACCCAAGCAGCATGTAGGGCATTTCCATCATCTAGATGATTCTCTCCTGCCCCTTTCTCATCAATCTCCCTCCTCAATAGAGGTCAGCCATGGTTTGTTTGGTGTTTGCTGGATACTCCTCATCCCTAGGCTGGAAACAAGAGAATACAGAATAGGACTTTGATAACAGGGCCAGAGCTAAGATGCACTCACTCAGGAGAATGAATGCTTCCCTCACCTCACCCTGTCCCAGCCCTGTTGTACAGAGTGGCCTGTTACAGAATCACTAAAATAGTTTTTACTTTCATACACAGAAAATTATATGGCCCAACCTGGTTCTGTGGTTGACTGGATCAAACTCAACTCTCAACCATTCATACGAATACTTCCAGTGTTTATTGATCATTGACTTTGGTGAACATGATGCTTTCCAATCAATTATATTTCCCTCCCTACATAAACCATTCCTGCCTCATAACATTTAGAAATCTTTAGTAGCTACATAAAAGATATCCCTCCCCCAGGTTCCAGTAGAATTTGTGACAGCACATCCATGCTGGGTGCAGAGTGCTGCTCCTTCTCACGTTCCAAGCCTCACCGTATGTCGGCATTACCTTACCGAACGAGCTATTGTATTAGTCATCCTGCTGGATGTGGGGGTGTTCTCATTCCTCACGAATTCTTATTATCAGTGGGTACTCTAATGGTGTTCTTCATGTATCTTTGTTATTAGAGAGTACTGTAATTGTGATGCTTGTTGTGTGAAGTTTGGAATTCATTTATGGTAGAACATACTTACTGTAGAGCCTGGGCTGAACATAATTAAATCTTCCTTCAGAGGCTCCAAAGGGAGTTGAGAATCTCGCAGCCCTCCAGAAGCATCACTACAGTTCCTATTTAATTCATGTAGAATTTCTAATTAGCTAACTAATGTTGAATTTCTGCTAATAAAATATCAGATATGGTCTTTACATAATTGCATGTTCCATGGGTATTAGATTTTTACAATTCCAGGTAGGAGACTACACTCAGAACTAAGCTTTGAAGTGATGTATTTTCTAAAAAACTGGGTATGGTTTCTAATAGAACTCAGCCCCTCCAAAGTCCATGATAATATATAGAGGTGAAGGACATGGGCTTTGGAATCAGATCTATCTGGATTCGGGTCACAGCTCAGTTACCTCAGGACCATGTGACCTTGAGCAAGCTCCTTATCCCCTTGAACCTCAGTCCCGTCATCTGTGAAACGGGGCTATGAACTGTATGTTTGTTGTGAAGGTTAATCAAGAATGCACATGGAGGGCTTCACAAAGCCTGGCATGAGGCGTACCACAGGTCGCGGCATTTCAAGAACAAAGTCAACAATAACTCTGCAGTCTCACCAACCAAGTGAGACCAATTGGAAGCCCTATATATATTTGGTCACACATTCCCAGACAGAGAGAGATCTTAAACAAATTGCACTAATTCAGTGAAGGTGTCTCTTGGAGTCCAGAGGGTGGAGGCAGCCAGTCAGTGGCCAGGACTCTGGGCCCCCCACCCAGCAGCCAAACAGAGCGACTCTGTGTTGGTCTGTTTCACACACTGGCCCCCGTGACACTTTTCATTTGGACTGCCACTTGAAAAGTTATGAAACCACTGATTTAATCCAACACTCTAATTTTGTAGATGAAGAAACTGAGGTTCCAAAAAGGGTAGGTGATCCCCATGCATTCAACACAGGTGTCCTGACCCCCGGATTGTCTGTTCCCGAGAGCCCACCCCATTATAAATGGAGACAACAAAGAGTAGAAAACAACGGGAAGATGCTACTGAGTTTCCACACAGTTCTTCCAGCCAGTTTCTGGGACCAGAAATATCCCTAGAAAAACAAAACCATCTGTTGTACCCCCACCCCATGGCTGTTTGTCAGAGTCCTTCCTGGTTTGTGAGTGGCAGGAGCGTCTGTAAAAAAAGGTTCTCGCCTGAAAGCCCTTTCTCCACTTCTGCTGGGGAACCACTGCTCACCTAGTGGCCTTCATGCCACCCTGTGGCCTCTCCGTGACCATCTTCTTGCAGACGTATTCACAGGGGTCCTCAGTGAGAGATCACAGATGATGTCAGGTCTTCATCCCTTTCAGCAGCAAAACATCTCTCTCCAGGACTCATGCCAGCATCTTTTATTTCCTAGCCTCTTACTCTGCCACATCCTCTGTTTTCCAGCCTCTCAACATTGCCTACAGCCACATCTACAGCTCCTACAGGAACTTCGTCGGGCCCCCCCATTTCAAGACCATCTGTAGACTCCTGGGTTACCAGGGCATCGCCGTGGTCATGGAGGAACTGCTGAAGATCGTCAAGAGTTTGGTAAGGAGGGGCCTCCATGAGTCCTGGTACACGCCTTCAGCTCTGTCTGTAGGAATCACCCCGGGGAATCCTGTGCCCTTATCCCTGGGTTCCTCTTACGTAGCACTCTGTAACATTTCTGTGTACCTTCTGACGCCATGGCTTTCCCTCTCACTTTCTGACCCAGAGCTTACTCACTGTACTTGATAAATGAACTCAGCAATCCTGATGTTGACCTTTAGGGCCTACTAATTACTGCTCACACTCTCCGCCTATGCAGTGTTTTTGAACTTGAGCGTGAAAACTCCATGGCACATGTGCTGCCATTTTCCCCTCCTGTGCTCACGGCACACATCTCTAATCAATCACCACGCTTCTTCCCCTTGGGATTTCTTGCTAAACACTTGCAACACTGCACTAGCCTCAAGGGAATTCTGTATCCGATTTCAAGTGTGATCATCCAAAGCTCCATTTACTTCCCCATGACACGCCGAAGTAAAGCTGAAACACTTAAACAAGATTTTCCTGAAATTTTGAGATGACAAGAGAGAAGTAGCTAAAGTAATGAGTAGCCACGCCAGAAATAGGAAGCAGGATTCGCCTGCTCACCGCTCCTCTGCTAACAGCTGTGTAGAGCCACGAGTTGTTACAGATTGTGACGCTAAATCCAGAGTTAAACAGGAAAATATAATGGGTTAAAGATGTCTGCCTTGGACATAGGAGGGATAAATGTGCAATGTATTTTCTGTGTTTAAATTAGCTAATGTGTCTGTCTCTACAGCTCCCTGGCCCATAACATTTTAGCTCTTAATCTGGATCTCATATAAGAACCTCAATCCCAGGAAAGGCCCATACTTTGAAATTGCCCTCCTGGAAGTGTATATTCCCAAGGGACTAATGACACAGCTCCCTTTTCTGTCTCATAAAGGCCTATTTTTTGTTATTAAAGAGAATAGGGCTGTGCCCCCACATTTAGGAGAGAACCTACTCCCTCCTCTCAGGGAGCAGTGCCTTACTGGCCTAGGCAGCTCCAACTGCTATAACAAAATAACACAGACCGGGTGGCTTAAACAACAAATGTTGATTTTTCACAGTTCTGGAGGCTGGAAGTCCAAGGTCAGGGTGCCAGCATGGGCGGGTTCTAGCGAGGACCCTCCTCCTAGTGTTCAGATGCCTGCCTTCTCATTGTGTCCCTACATGACAGAGAGCAAGCTCACCTGTCTCTTGTCTCTTCTTATAAGGGCACTAATACCATCATGAAGCTCCACTCCCAAGACTTCATTACCTCCCAAAGGCCCCAATGCCACACGCCATCACACTGGGGGATGGAGTTTCAATATATGAACTTTGGGGAGACACATTCAGTCCATAGCACTTACCCACAGGCCACAACAGAACCCTGTACACCCCCGGAGCCCAGCATTTAGTCCAGAGTTACACATAGACAGCAGTGATGGATTATTCACTCATTTTGCCCTCTTTTGTCAGCTCCAAGGAACCATTCTCCAGTACGTGAAGACACTGATCGAGGTGATGCCTAAGATATGCCGCTTGCCCCGACACGAGTATGGCTCCCCAGGTTGGTGATGGGGAGCCCGGGGCAGGAGGTAGTGATATGAGAGTAATCCAGGCCCACCCTGTGGTGGTCAGGGGCCCTGGCCATCTACCTGGAAAGGTTTGCTTGTCTAACAGGCCCACAAGCTGGCCCAGCACTGGGTTAGCATCCTACCTCCTCCATTAGCTAGATAGCCTTGAAGCATCTATAATCCCTCTGGGCAGTAGCATCATCTTCCCCAGTGAAGGTAAAGGATGCCTATTGGGCCTGCCTCCACAGGACTGCTGGGGAGCTAGGGAGGACAGCAGCTGTAGAGCATTTACAGCCTACTTGTAAAGGTCTTTTCTAACTCAGCACCTCCAGGATCCCTTCCTCCATTTGCCCATTGGAGGACGCAGGTGCTGCAGGTGGTGATACAAGTGACATTTCTAAGGTGAGTCAGGAAACAGGAGTTTTGCCAGTCTGCCTCTGAGCAGAGAAATCATTCTTTCCTTCCCTAATAGTGAATGGCACAGGGACTGAATCTGGGGAATGGGAATCGGGAAAGGTGGAGACTGTGAGTTTGGCACCTGGTGTTTTTTCCTAAAAACCAAGCTGTCAGGTGCTGAGTGTGTGTGATTCAGAGTAGAAAAGGGCTTGGGGACACCTACATGGCTCAGTCGGTTAAGTGTCTGATTCTTGATTTCAGCTCAGGTCATGATCTCATGGTTCTTGAGTTTGAGCCCCACGTTGGGCTCTGCTCTGACAGTGTAGAGTCAGCTTGAGATTTCCTCTCTCTCTCTCTCTCAAAAAATAAATAAACCTAAAAAAAGAAAGAAAGAAAGAAAGAAAAGAAAAGAAAAGAAAAGAAAAGAAAAGAAAAGAAAAGAAAAGAAAAGAAAAGAAAAAGCTTGCCCTCGGAAGCTCTGGTTTTCAATCATAGGTGCCCCACTTACTAGCTGTGTGACTATGGGCCTGCCACTTACCCTCTCTGACCATAATCTAAAAATAAAAGTAATAGTGCCCTTCATGGTATTGTTGTATTAAATGAGATGTTGTAGATAAAGTGCTTAGCACAATACCTTGCCCTTATAAATAAGTGTTAATTCCTGTTATTAAGAATTCAGACAACTTTTTGGAGGGACTGGGAGAGATTCAGGGATGCTGTATTTGCGTATGTTTGTTTTGTTCCAAAAAAGATTTGAGCCAGCCTCCTGAGTTTTCTTTAGTACTGAGCCCTGAAAGAAGTCTCACCCCTGGCCCACATGTAGAGAGGTAGGGGTTTGGTTTTTCGCCGTCCCACTCAGGTCTGGGCTGTTGCTCTGTTGGCCCTTCCCATCATCCTGCCTGAGCAGGGTCAGTTTCCCACTAACTGTCTGCCTTCATTCCCCAGGGATCCTGGAGTTCTTCCACCACCAGCTAAAGGACATCATTGAGTATGCAGAGCTCAAAACAGATGTGTTCCAGAGCCTGAGGGAGGTGGGCAATGCCATCCTGTTCTGCCTGCTCATAGAGCAAGCTCTGGTGAGTCCTGAGCCCAAAGAAATTGGAGCGTCTCCAGGCTGGAAGGGACCCCCAGCCCAGCCAGAGACTCGAGGCCCCCCAGGGTATCCTGCTCAGCAGGCCCTGCAGCATAGACTCGTGTTGTCTATGCTGGGGTGGGGTATGTGTCACAAATCTGTTCCGCTCTCAGGCAGCTCTGACCATTTGAACCCTAGGAGGAACGCAGGCCCTGGAGTTAGACAGACCTGGGTTCCTGTCCCAGCGCCACCTTCACTAGCCGCAGGATCCCAGCAATTCATCCGAGGCTTAGTTTTCCATCTACTCATTAAACAAATAACAACTGCTTGGCCGCCACAGGCCGGGCACTGCACTGGGGGGTGGAGCCATCGTCAGCCCCTGCCCTGTGTCCTGGACAGTGGCGGGGAGACTCACACTGAGCCATGTATTTACACAGAAATGCTGTGCATACATTGCAGCAATGCTCGGAGGGAGGAGTGCAGGGTTTTGTGGGAACACAAAACAGAACCTGGTGTGGTCTTGGGGAGAGAGGGAGGACTTCCCTTAGGGGGTGACCAGGAGAATGGTCAGGAATTGGCCTGCTGAAGAACCAGGAATCGTGGTCCAGGCTGAGGGGAGAGCACATAGTGCTCTCTTCCTTTGGTGTGATGGGAGACGGCCACGCTAACCCGCAGGGTAGTTTAGAGGCTGAGAGGAGACAAAACGTGCAAAGTGCACACAGTAAGAACTAAATAACTGGTGGTAGTTAGCAGGATGAGCATAGGCTCGCCTCCCCATACTCCCACTTCCCAGGACCACACAGACCCAGGGCACCTTTTAGCTGCCTGACCATTCGGCAGTCCCCACCGGCCCTTGTGGCTTGGTCACAGAGGCTGCCTGCCTCCTTCCCATTCTCGCCAACACTCGGTGCTACCTGCTCCTCTGTGTGTGGGGTCCACAGCCCTCCAGCCACGGGGCCACGGATGCAGTGGAGTAGTGGAAGGAAAGGGAGAGGGGTGTCGCTCTGAGGATGCATCATCTCAGCCTGGGAAGATCTCTCAGCCTCTGTGCACTCATACAGCACAGGGGTATGGAGAGCCCGTTCATTGCTGACTGCAGTTCTAGGTTGTGGGTGAATAGCCTTCATTAAGAGAGGCAGATTATGACCATCCAAAGATTGTGAAGGCAGAGGGTGGTACATGCTGTGAGGGCATAAAAGGGAAACCGGGATAGAGCGTGATGGTGGTCGGGAGGGATACGCTGATTTCAGAGAGGGTAGAGCTTGATATTTGTAAGAAAGAAAAAAACCTGGAATGAGCTGGAATGGAGGGGCACAGGGGACAAGATAGGAGCAGAGGAAGGAGGAACAGGTGGCAGTCCTGGGTAGGAATTCGTTGAAGTGTTGTGAAATGGAGAGTGAGGCAGAGGGTCTGATTTACTCTTGGGAAAGGCCCTTTGGGCCTTGGGAGAAGAACCAGCCATAAACATGCTGCAGCTGTTTGCAGCTACCCAGCTCAGGGTTCGTCCTGGAGGCAGAAGCACATGGAGAGGGGAGGGAAAGGAAGGCACTAGGGAGGAGACATAACAGGGGTAGAGTGAGATGAAAAGCTCGGAATAAGAACCCTAGTGATCCCTGCCTCTAACAGTCCCGTGTGACCCAGAGCGAGCCAGTTCACTCCACGTCTGAGGTCCCCACCTCTACAACGAGGACGTGTCCTATCTGTTCTCTCAGACCCTTCCCCGCGGAGAGGCTCAGAAACGCACACGGTTTTGCTCTCCCTCCATAAGGAGTAATTGCCTCTCTGTTCCCCTTTAAATAGACTCTTGAGACAGCTAAGTGTTCCTCTTTATGGTAACAGGTTTTGAACACGGTTCAGTGGCCTGTGTTGCCATGGCAACTTAGCCTTCAGAAGTCACAGGGATGAGTAGGAAACACAGTTCTGTTCAAGGCTTCAGGATGATGAGGAGAGGCTCCAGGGGCACCAGGAGGGGTAGAGGTGGGGGAGGGCTGGCCCCTGAAGCCTCAGGCCTACGTGTCTCCTGATAGCACCTTCTTTCATGAGGAGTTGTGACCCGAGAGCACCAATTAAGTTTCCCCTAAGAAGCAGACTATTGATGGGACTATAAGGACAGGGAAAATTTTTCTCAGGCAGCCGTGCCAAGGTGGTCACTTGCATATATCACTGAAGACAAGAGGATACTCAGGATAAAAGACCTTCAGAGCTGAGAGAGACCTTAACAGTATATGTCCCTACTCCTCTATTCATGAGGGAGGAAGTGGGGAACCAGAGAGGGGAGCTGGTCTCCTGAGGTCTCATGGCACATCAGCAGCAGAGGTGAAAGAAGGAAAGCACAGGTTTCCAGCACCGACTCCAGTCCTGGCGGAGGCCAACAGAGCAAGAATCAGGGCCCCCACAAACCTCTGTGCTACGCTTTCTACTTAGACAACTGGGGGAATCCCCAGGCCAACATAGTACTTTCTGAGATTAGAATGAGGCATGAGCTTTCTGGAGCCTTTGTGTTTACAGAACTGAAATTAAATAAATATTTAAATGACATATCAATTGTTCTAATTAAAGAACAATTAGCAAAAAAAGAAAGGGAGGGAAGGTGGAAGGGAGGGCCCTTAATGGCCATCCACAGAGGACCTTCTCTTCTTGTGGAGGACTCTGAAGAGTTACAAAGAATAAGGTGTATGTACCCACATAGAAAATGTTGAAAGACACAATGCTGAGTGAGAAAAAGCAAGTCCCAGCACAAGGCACATATTATGATGCCATATATATAAAATAAACAAAAAAGAGGGTGGTGCCTGGGTGGCTCAGTCAGTTAAGCTTCTGCCTCTTGACCTCAGCTCAGGTCTTGATTTCAGGGTTGTAAGTTCAAGCCCTGCATTGGCTTAAAAAAAATTAAAATAAACAAAAAAATAAAACCCACAAAATATAGTGCATTGAAAAAAAAAATCTAGGGAAAAAAAGCATATCAGATAGTTCAGCTATTTTCTCCATGTATCAGGGAGTAAACTAGGATTAGAGGTCAACAGGGACTTTAATTTTATCTGGAAGGTCTAATGTTTTGCAAGGATAGTATTTTCAAGTATTACTATTGAACTAAAAATTAATTTAAAGAATACAAATAGTACCTAATAGTTGTAGGTTAATAATAACAGAAAAACTGGAAGAATATTGAAAAATACAAAGTAGGAAGTCTTTTGCTTGTTTATCTTGTGTTGTCTTTTTCTGATAGATTTGTAGTTTCTGGTTGTGGGTTCCATGTTGAAATATATGCTGCAAATACCTTCTTTCATTCTGTGGCTTGTGTTTTTGTTTCTAACAGGTTATTAATATATCATTAATGTGTAGGAAGAGGGGATATAAGTTGAAAGGATTAATTACTTGTCTAAAGGTATACCTTTTCTCTTTAAGTTAGGTGCTTATAAATATTTCTCCAAATTCAGGGTGCAATATTAGTATAGAAACCCCTACACCTGTGGAGCAGGTTACTTGCTTGGTGTTTTTAATTAAGGTCTAACATACATGGAGTAACATACAGAATATGCAGAATTCTCACCATATAGACAAAGTGAATCATCCATGTTACTGTGGGTGGGCATTTGGGTTGTTTACAGCATGATGCTGTAACAAATGAAGACACCATGAACGTTCTTGCACATTTCTGTTGGTGGATCTGTGCTCTCATTTTTATTAGGTAAATTTACTAGTAGTAGAGTAGCTAGGTCAACGTGTAGATCAATGTTTAGTTTCAGGAGCTACTGCCAAACTGTTTTACAAAGTGGTTGTGAGAGTTTATTCACTCATTCAGCAGTGTAGGAGAGTTTTAATTTCTTGACATCCTCAGGAACATTTGGAGTTGTCTTGTCTTTTCAATGAAAGCCGTTCCATCATGGTATCTCATGATGGTTTTGATCTCCCTGCTGACCACTGATGCTGGGCCTCTTTCCATAAGGTAGAGCCATTTGGACAGCCTTTTTTGCAAAAGGCGGTTCAATATTTTTGCCTGTTTTTAAATTAAGCCCTCTTTTCCATATTTATTTGTACTTATTATTGATATATTGTGGATCCATAAATGGCAAATACATTTCTTTGGCTTGTCTTTTGGTAAACAGAAGTTCTTAAGGCTTGGTGTATTTACCATTTCTTCCCCCATGTGGTTGGTGCTTTTGTGACTTGTCTTAAAAAATCTTTCCTACTCTACAATCATGAAGATGTATTATCTTCTAAAAGTTTAGAGTTTTAGCCTTTTGAGGCTTAACAGACCATTAAGTCTGTTGTTCACTTGGAGTTGATGTGTGTGTTTAGTGGGAGGTAGAAATCCATTTTCATTTCTTCCCGATTATCCCAGCAGCATTGACTGAAAAGACCTTCTTCTCCCTGTTCTGCAATGGCAATGCCACATGCGTCATTGATCAAGTGCCCACAAAGGGTCTAGTGGTGGCAGGCTCTGAAATATTTGTTGAGTCTACCCTGAAATGAATCGGTATTCGTTAGGCATCTATTTATAAGTCCTGTTATTTTTTTTTCATTTTTTTAATGTTTATTTATTTTTGAGAGACAGAGAAAGACAGAATGCGAGCAGGGGAGGGGCAGAGAAAGAGGGAGACACAGACTCCAAAGCAGACTACAGGCTCTGAGCTGTCAGCACAGAGCCTGATGCAGGGCTTGAACTGACAAACCGTGAGATCATGACCTGAGCTGAAGTCAGACGCTCACCTGACTGAGCCACCCAGGCACCCCAGTCCTGTTATGTTTTTAAAGGAAATTCTGTTAGTATCTCCTACCTAGTATCTAGTAACTAGTGTCACCTACCCTGGGAAATCAGAAGATTGTCATTAAGGAAATATTCCATAGTCACCAAGTTTTTTCTCAAATTTTGTATGGTGTTTGAGCCATCAGCCCATTGTTCACTATGCTGACACACACCAGAAGAGGGCCCTGTTTGTTCATGTGAAAGAGGGAAAGCCCGGTCCCTGGGAAGAAGACAGCCTGTCTGTCTGCCTCTCTGCC